AGGAGAGCTTGCCAGCACAGCTTATCCAGCAGGGTCGCAGCACATGCGCCTCCCGAGAGCGCAGATCCTCGCTCCGCGGAGCCGGGAGCAAGCGGGTTCCCGGGACGCCGGGCCAGTTCCTTCCCAACTCCAGGATCAGAGGGCTGCAGCATGATGCCTGCATGGCCCAGCCCCGCTAAAGTGCTTCCATGCTGAGGAGAGGATTAAAAATCTGCTCCACTAGGTTTCTGAGCGTTTATGTTACCTCTATTCCATAAACCATGATTGACAGGTGCTGTGATTGACCGATTTTGATTTTGTTTTTCGAGACAGGGTTTGTCTGTGTAGCTCTGGCTGGCCTGGAACTCACTCTGTAGATCAGGATGGCCTTAAACTCCTGATCCTCCTGAGTGCTGGGATTAAAGGTGTGTGCCACTACCACCGTCCCGGTGATTATCCGATTCTTTAATAAAAAAAACCCTAAAAATAATTTTTAATTATGTGCATGTGTGTGCATGTACAGGTAGTGACGGTGGTCCTTGTGGAGACCAGAGCTTAGATCTGATACCCCTGAAGCAGGCGTTAAAGGAAGTTCTGAGCTTGGCTGTGGAAGTGTTGTGAACCTAACTGCACTTCAGGAAGAGCCGCGGTGTGCTTAACTATAGAGCCATCTCCAACTCCTGATTAGTCCTTTTTTTTGAGGGGGCAGGAGGCTGAGACAGGGTCTCTCCATACAGCCTTGGCAGTTCTGGAACTCCCTATGTAGATCAGGCTGGACTTGAGCTCACATAAATCTACCTGTGTAGCAAAATATTCCTTTATACTGTGTGAAGTTGTGTCACTGTGATTGGTTTAATAAAGAGCTGAATGGCCATTAGCTAGGCAGGAGGAGGTTAGACTTCTGGGGACAGAGAGGACTCTGGGAGAGGAAGACAGGTGGAGATGGCAGCCAGATGCAGAGGAAGTAGGATGGGCAGTTCAGAGTTAAGGTAACTGCCACATAAAAGAACATAGATTACTCTCTTTTCTCTCTTTATCTCCATTTCTCTTTCTCTCTTCTTTCTCCCTCCTCTCTCGTCTCTTTTCCCCAATAAACTTCCTACATTAAAAAACAAAACAAAACACATAGATTAAGCCAGGCAGTGGTGGCACACTCTGGGAGGCACTCAGGAGGCAGAGGCAGGGGATCCCCGTGAGTTCAAGGACAGCCAAAGTTACTATACAGAGAAATCCTGAACCAAAACCAAAACAAAATAAGTTTTAAAAATATAGGTTAATTTAAAAGATATAAGAACTAGTTAGGAACTAAGCTAAGGCCAAGCTTTAATAGTTAATAATAAGTCTCTGTGTTGTATTTGGGAGCTGGCTGTCAAGACAGAGAAAGACTCCTTATACACCTGCCTCTGCTCACCACAATTTTTTTTTTTTTTTTTTTTTTTTTTTTTTTTTGAGGTCTCCAAATTCCACCTGCCTCCTGAATGGAGGAATGGTATTTTCAACATGGTGAGAGTGCTTGTCCAGTTGCCATGATGTTGTTTCTCCACTCCTACAGAGGTGAGGGAAGAAGAATCTTCAGTTTGAGTCAAGTTGGTTTTCATGGCAAGATGCTAAGAGCTCACCGTGGTTGTTCTCTTCTGCACTCCAGCATTTAGGAGGCTGAGGCAGGGGTATTACCATAGATTCAAGGCCAATTTGGTCTACAAGTGAGTTCCAGGACAGTCAAGATTATAAAGTGAAACCTGCTCTCAGAAACAAAATAAGTTTGTTTTGCTTGTGGGTTTTTTGTTTTGTTTTTTGCAAATTCTTTATAATGAAGTTTTTCTTATTTAAAAGCAAACCAGCAGACATTCTTTTTTTTTTTTTTTTTTTTCAAGACAAGGTTTCTCTGTGTAGCTTTGGAGCCTATCCTGGCACTTGCTCTGGAGACCAGGCTGGCCTGCAACTCACAGAGATCCGCCTGCTTCTGCCTCCCGAGTGCTGGGATTAAAGACAGGTGCGCCACCAATGCCCGGCTGCAGACATTCTTATATTAGTCTCTGACCCTCTTCTGTTCTCGAGTTTATTCTCCATAGGAGATCTTATCCACTCATGATCTCTATTATTGTCCTGTTATGAAATGACCTTTTTGTACATTGTGAAGATTGTCTTTGTCAAGGCACCTTCTGATAGGTTTAGTAAAAGGCTGACTTGCAGGACGGTGGTGGCACACACCTTTAGTCCCAGCACTAGAGAGGCAGAGGCAGGTGGGCCTCAGTGAGTTCAAGGCCAGCATGGTCTACAAAGTGAGATCCAGGACAGTCAGAACTGTTACACAGAGAAACTCTGTCTCAAGTAAACAAACAAACAAATAAAAGGCTGACTGGCCGATAGCCTGGCAGGAAGAGGATAGTCAGGAAAGCAAAGCTATGAGGATGCTGGAAAGAAGGGCCAAATCTCGGGAGTCAATAGCCAGAAATAGAGAAAGCAGGAAAGCAATACAGGCAGAATAAAGGTAATAAAGCCATGAGGCAGAAAATAATTTTTAAAATGGATGAATTTAAGTTATAAGAGCTAGTGATACAAGCCTAATCTATAGGTCAAGATTTTATAATTAATAGTAAGTCTGTGGTTATTTGGGAGCCAGCGGTCCCAACAAAAAATTCTGCCTACATTGTCTGGATTCTCAAACTCATGTGTGTAGTCCTCATTTCTCTCCTGAGCTTCAGGCTCTCCTATATCTAACTGCCTGCTGCATCTCTCCACTGGACCCACAATTCCACAGCTACTGGCATCATCTTCACTTGCTCTCAGATCTCTTTTAGGTTCACTTGTTTGGTAAATTGCATCAGGCAGTATCGATGGGACTTGTCTTTTTCCAGTGATGTTAGTTGAAATCAACAGTTATGATAATTGAAATAATTTGCTTTTTTGAACAATATTGAGTAACATTTGAAATGAATGAATTAATCAGTTGCCTAGTTCTTTCACTTGTGCCTGTTGTGATCAAAGTCTAACAAGCCAGTCGAGGTACTTCCAGTTTTTGTTCTTTTTCTTAAAGATTTTATTATGTATACAACATTCTGCTTCCTGTATAACTGAAAACCAGAAGAGGGCACCAGATCTCATAACAGATGGTTTTGAGCTACCATGTGGTTGCTGGGAATTGAACGCAGGATCTCTGGAAGAGCAGTCAGTGCTCTTAACTTCTGAGCCATCTCTCCAGCCAATTTGTTGTTGTTGTTGTTGTTTGTTTTCTAGCTAGTCTCCTTGACTCAGAGTTTTGCTTCCCCAATCTTCCTTATCCTTGAAAAGTCCAGTGTAAGGCTGGACATAGTTGGTACATGTTTTTAATCCCAGCTCTTGGGAGGTAGAGGCAAGCAGATGTCTGAGCTTAAGACCAGCCTGGTTTACAGAGTGAAATCCAGGACAGCCATAGCTACACAAGAGAAACTCTGTCTTGAAAAGAAAAAAGAAAAAAACAAAAGTCGAGAGAATAATTTTTCAAAAAGGCAGAGATTTTATCAATCTCTGGTTAAAAACTTAAGTTACTTTTCAATTGCTGTGATAAAGTACCATGATTATGGCAACTTATAAGAGAAAGCATTTACATTGGTAGTGGGGCATGGCAACAGGCAAGCAGGTAGGCATTGTGCTGGACCAGTAGCCGAGAGCTCAAATACCATCTCCATCTACAAGCACAAAGCAGAGAGAACTAACTGGGAACAGCTTGAGCATTTTGAAACCCCCAGGCCCACCCACAGTGACTCACCACTTCCAACAAGGCCACACCTCCTAATCCTTCCCAAATACTTCCACTAATTGAGAACCAAGATTTCAAATATATGAGCCTATGGGGGCCATTCACATTCAAACTACCACAAAAACCATAGGTCAGGTAATGCTAAGTAGAGGTAAGGGATGACGGTGCATACCTGTGATCCATCACTTGGGAGCCACAGGCAGGATCATTTTCAAGGTCCTCCTCAGCTGCACAACTGAAGCCAACCTGGGCTATATGAGACTGTGTCTCAAATTAAAAAAAAATAATAAAATAATCCATATATTTGAGCCTTTAATCTGAGCACTAGGGAGGCATAGCAGATGGATCACTGAGTTCAAGGCCATCAGGAGACCTTGCCACAAGAAAAAACTCATCCAGCTGGGTGGTGGCAGCGCAAGCCTTTAGTCCCAGCACTAGGGAGGCAGAGGCAGGCAGAACTCTGTGAGTTTGAGGCCAGCCTAGTCCTCAGAAAGAATTACAGGGCAGCCAAGGTTGTTTCACTGAGAAACCCTGACTGGAAAAAAAAAGTTCATAGGAAGTCAGTATACAATATTTAAATTTAGCCAGGCATGGTGGCACAAATGCCTTTAATCTCAGCACTTGGGAAGCAGAGTCAGGCAGATATGTGAGTTTGAGGCCAGTCGGGTCTACAAAATGAGTTGCAGGACAGCCAGGAATACACAGAGAAACCCTGTCTTGAAAAACCAAGGTTTACAGAGTGAAATCCAGGACAGCCATAGCTACACAAGAGAAACTCTGTCTTGAAAAGAAAAAAGAAAAAAACAAAAGTCGAGAGAATAATTTTTCAAAAAGGCAGAGATTTTATCAATCTCTGGTTAAAAACTTAAGTTACTTTTCAATTGCTGTGATAAAGTACCATGATTATGGCAACTTATAAGAGAAAGCATTTACATTGGTAGTGGGGCATGGCAACAGGCAAGCAGGTAGGCATTGTGCTGGACCAGTAGCCGAGAGCTCAAATACCATCTCCATCTACAAGCACAAAGCAGAGAGAACTAACTGGGAACAGCTTGAG